GGTAGGTAGGGTGGGTGATTGATGGATAGGTGGGTGGGTGAGTGGGTGGATAGGTGGATGAGGGGATGGTTGGGTGGATGGATGGATGGATAAATGAATGGATGGATGGATAGGTGGGTGGGTGGATAAATGGGTGGATAGGTGGATGAGTGGATGGATGGGTGGGTGGGTGGGTGGGTGGGTGGATGGATGGATGGGTGGACACATAAATGACTAAATGAATGAACAAATAATAGAATCCCATAAGTAACACCAGAGGCCACTGGGCTCCAGGCTCTGTTTCAGTCTGGAATTTACTGGAGCTCAGCTGCCAGGGAATCCCAGCTTTGCCCCTGGTATTTAGTCTGACCCAACTCTTTTCTAGCTACGTTTCCCCAACTTGGCCGAGTAACCCTATGTGATCACTGTCTGTCTCCTTCACAGGCTGTAGCGTAGGTGACACACTACCCAGCACTGCATCTGGCCTAACAATTACGTCCTCAATGCCCTCCCCTGGGCTGGGGCCGCTGCAGGCCTCAATGAATACTTGTTGAATAAATGACAAATGAACAAAAGACCTAGGGAGCTTTTTAAACATGGAGATTTCTAGGTCCCGGTCGAGATCTGCTGGCTCAGAATCTCTAAGGGTGAAACTCAAGAATGTGTATTTTGTTCAAAAGCTTTCTGGCAATTCCAGTAATCGGCCGGGATTGGGCACCTAGCTTGTGGGGAAGAGGAGTCCCCAGCTACTGAAGGCTGTGGCCGCAGATGAAGGCATCTCCGAACAGGGCCGGATGGAGCGGTCACCAACTCGGGCAGATCACCACTCTCCTAATTCTTTTAGGTTAAAAGAGTCTAACAGCATTCTTTGGAGTGTGGTCCTTGAACTATTTACTTCAGAACCACCTGAGTAAGAGGAAGCCTTTTTTAAAAAATAGATTTTTTTATTGATTTCAGAGAGGAAGAGAGAGGGAGAGAGAGATAGAAACATCAATGATGAGAAAGAATCATCGATCAGCTGCATCCTGCACGCACACCCCCTACTGAGGATCGAGCCTGCAGCCCTGACTGGGAATCGAACCGTGACCTCCTGATTCATAGGTCGAGGCTCAACCACTGAGTCACGCCGGCTGGCAGAGGAAGTCTTTTTTTTAAATGTAGATTCTAAGGTCCCACCCCAACCTACGAACTTAGAGTCTCTACGGGGGAGGCCCCAAGAATCTGCACCCTTAACAGGCTGTCTGGGCCATCCTGGCACCCGGGGGGATGGGAGTGACTGGCTCATGGGTTCCCGGGGGTGCTAAGGCCACCTGCTGTGTCCGGCACCTTCATGCACACCTCACCTTCTGAGAGAGGAAAGTTCCTGTGGGGGCAGCCTGGATGACTCCAAGAAACCCAGCAAAGTAGGTGAGAGGCCACAAGGCAGCAAATGTGCCCATTCCTCAGCGCCTGAGCCTTGAAGCAACCAACGAGTCATGAGGCCCTGCTTCTCATCTTACAGATGAGGAAGCCGAGGCCCAGGGAGGACTGTGTCCTGCCCAAGGTCATAAAAGAGTGAGTGCCAGAGCCAAGCTCGAAGCCAGGTGGCCATGCCCCAGGCTCGCCCCGGGCCCACGCTGCCCTGGCCCACGTGGGAGGCTCTCCCCTACTCGCATTCTCCGCACCTGCTCCCAGGTGAGTGAAGGCCCCAGGGAAGAGCCTCCAGCAGGGCAGCAGCCGTCAGCCCTGGCTGTCTCGGCCAGGCTTGCTGTTCCAGGAAGTCAGAGTGGCTCTGATCACGGAGATTAACAATATCAGGCATGTTCAAGGCACTGTCGAGTCCTGCAATTTCAGAATCTGCTTAAATCATGATGCAGATGAAAGAGGAGTCATGTACCCGAAGTCATAGACCAGGAAGTGGGGACGTGAGACCCGAGTCTGCACTGGAGGCTAACGTGCTTAGTACTCAGTGAGATGATCCCTGTCATTTATTTTTATTTTTTTAAAGATACTTTTATTTATTTATATTTTTTATGGATTTCAGAGAGGAAGGGAGAGAGAGAGAAACATCAATGATGACAGAGGATCATTGATCGGTGGCCTCCTACACACCCTACACTGGGGATCGAGCCCACAACCCAGGCATGATTCCTAACCGGGGGCTGAACCATGACCTCCTGGCTTATAGGTTGACATTCAACCACTGAGCCACGCCGGCTGGGCCATTTCATTTATTTTTATCGTTGTTGTTCTTGTTCTGATGGGAGGGGGCGAGGGCACGCAGCAGCAGGGCCTGGGCAGGAAGTCATGCCCATGAAAGTGGCCAAGAGGTGAAGCTGAGGACCCAGCTTCCCAGGTCTTCTGCGCCTGGTTCTGCTGCCATTGGCTGTGTGAGCTGGGGCGAGTCACCGCCCCTCTCCAGGCGAAGCTGTCCCCATGCATAAAGTTAGGACTTGGGCCTCGAGGATCCCGGAAGGCCCTTCCAGCTCTAAATGAGTCTCTGACTTCATGGCCCTGTCCTCAGCTTCTATTTCTCTCCCCAGCAGCCACAACCTCTCCCTGGTCCCGCGTCCCCTTTCCTGTAAGCAGCTGAGGCCTGTACTGCTCGGCCAGGCTGCAGGCTGGGCTGAGCTCTGCCCAGTGGTGGACTAAGCACTGCCTTTGCCCTCCCTGCCACTGTCCCTTTGCCTCCTCACCGGAACCCAGGT